ATATTAATTGATTATTTAACGATTACTTTATTTTGTACACCAAATAAAAAAAAATATTCGTTTTAGTACGGCACTCGCTATAATAATAAAGTACTGAATGTAACATAACTATTATTATTACTGAAAATATTTAAACTTTTCTGTAAAAAATTTGCCAGATTTTATAGGTTTTATTAATTGGTATATTAATAGTATAATAGCACAAAAAGAAGCAGATATGTCAATTCAAGAAAGATATTATACAAATATTTTGTAACAGAAAATTTTATGGAGTCATTTGGAAGCTTAACATTATAAAAAGTAAACATTTATCTATATTTTAATTAAAAATAAAATGCACTATAATTTTGGTATTGTTAAAATTTGAATTATTAATAATAGTATTGTAATTATCTTTTAATTTTGCAAATAATATATTTTAAACTATTATATTTTATTTTATTTTGTAATTTAATAGTTATTATTTCTATACGCATTTTTATGTTTAAAAATTTAAAAAAAAAATCGAATATTAGAAATAAGAAGTATTACTAAAAATATTATTCACTAAATATTTTAAAAGTACCATTGACGTTTAATTATAAAATAACAGCAAATATAATCTATATTTGCGTAAATACGCATTTTATTATCTACATTTTAATAGACTTTATTTAGTCATAATCTAAATTTGAACGAAAATAAAATTGTATACTTTTATGTTAAACAAAGAGAAGAGTACCAATTACTAGTATAAAAAGGGAAGACGTTTTTTCTCTGTAATCGTATTGTTCTTGAAAAATCATTATTCTAAAATGTTTAAACTGTCTTTATATTCTTTACTTTTTATATGTGGTGCTATTAATTTTAGAGTAACGGCAGTAAATGTTTCTAAATTTAATGCTTTGGTGCAACACCCAATCTGGACAAAATTAAATAATAATGAATATGCTAGTAAATTTATATTACATGGCCAGAATTTTTATAATATTACAGAAGTTTTTACTTTAAGTACATTATTTCCAAGTGATTCGGCCAATAATTTAATTACAGAACAGAATTTTAACGATAGAGTATGGCAATTCCATTTGTTATTGAGTGTTCTCTATGCTATTGATATACATCATATACTCGTTAAAATAATTTATTTTTGGTTAAATTATCAAAACAATGATGATCCGGAAACAGCATTTTCAGTACGTTTGATATTGGAATATCCACTCCTTCATAACGAACTTCGAAAAATGAAAAATTCATTATTATACTTTCCTCATTTGGTTCATATTTCTATGCGTACTTCAGATATATTTACTAATGAAATGCATACTGCTTTAGATATATTGATAGAACTAATGTACAAAATTCCACTTACACGGGGGGAAGATTGTAGAAAAGAATTTGAGAAGGCAGAAAACGAAATTAATAATTTTTTTAACAACCATGTTGTTCCCGTACAATTTTCAGGTGAAAACTATAATTTAGGACTAACAAGTCATATTCATGTGTATTATAATAGTTCAAGACAACTACAACCAAACGAAACTTTTCTTTCAAATATTTTTCAACTTAGTGAAACTAACAAACTATACGGTTTTCAATATGATCCAGTTACATTTGATGTCATTCTAGGTACAGGAGATTCTAGCTCAACAGGTACGGAGTCAGTTGGAAGCTCGACATCATGAAAGGTAACACTTTTATCAATATTTTAATTAAAAGTAAAATGTAATATGATTTTGGCATTGTTAAAATTTGAATTATTAATAATAGTATTGTAATTATCTATTATATTTGAAAATAAAATATTTAACTATTAAATTGTATTTTATTTTTTAATTTAAAAATTATTTAATTGGCATATACCACTAAAAAATACTTTAATTTGATGAAACTAAAATGAAATTTTTCACAAAAATCATACGTTTTTTTTTAACTTTGAAATCCGTTTTCAGCATGAAGAGAAGTCTAGTGATCAATTTAAGATATATATATAAAAGTGTTAGTATTTCCGGAACAATTTCAAAAGTTAAGTTGAAAAAATTCTACTTTCAATACGCATTTTAAAAATGTAAACCCCTCTGTATAAAAGGAAATGGTCAGATTTTAAATCGAATTTTAAAAATAAGATATATTACTGGAAATATTATTCAATAAATAATATAAAAGTAGCATAGACGTATAATTATAAAATAATAGTAAATATTTTAATTGCGCTAAGTAGAAGAAGAAGTTTTCGTAATTTTGTCTCATATAATAAATATATATATTAAAAAGTTTTTAAGTATATATTAATATTTTTAGTGATTACTTTATTTGCTACATCATATATAAAAACAATATTCGTCTTAGAACGGTACTGAATATAATAAAAAAGTTCTAAATGTAAAATAACTATCATTATTACTGAAAGTATTATTCACTAGAAAATTAATTTTAGCTTCGATGCGAAGCTGAGAAGGTATTGGTTTTACTAAGATGTGTTTTTTTTTTTTTTTTTTTTTTTTTTTTTT